AACTTTGTGCTTTCTTTTATTCCAGAAGACATACATTTTAATGTAGTTTTTCCTTTATGGTTTGTGCATCTGTTTCTGTTTAAGAAATCCTTTCCTACCCCACGTCATAGAGTAGTCTCAGACTGTCTTTAGAAATGTTTTAAGGTTTTGGTTTTATAGTCAGGTTTTTCACTCCCTTAGAATTTATCATACATAGTGTGAAGTAGGGATTTATTTTTCCATATGGATAACCAGTTACCCCACATTGTTGAAAAAAGATGAACTCATCTTTTTTTATACTGTCATATATCAAGTTTCCAAATATGGAAGTCTAGACTGCACTCCTTGGTCTTTTCCACTGGTCTGCTTGTCCCTGTGCCAAAACAACATGGTTTTAGTTACCATAACTTTACAGTATGTTCAGAGTATTGTAAATGGTACAGCAGCATGTTTCAGGGAGACTAGTTCATCACTAGAAAGCGAATATCAAACCCTGTGCTGCATGGCGGATACACATCATCAGACATCGAAGGTCCATCTTGGCTCAGAGAGCCAAGGGCAGGGGAAATGAAGGATTTGAGCCTTAGAGGAAGGGACAGATTTACATGTGTGGAAGAGGGTCACAGAATAAAATGAATGTCAAGAAATTCAGGGGAAATATCATGGAAGACTCCTTGAATATGATAGCCCTATGAGACCTCTGAAGCAATAAACAGTGTGGAGTGGTCTAGCCGTGTGACAGGGGTGGTCTAGCGGCCATGTACTCAGTCTTGGGAGTCAGAGCGGGTTGATCTTTAACAGGCTACTTCACCTGTCTGGAACTTAATTTCCTCATCTATAAAATGCGGCAACAATAGATTTCCTCACAGGATTGTTGGGAGGACTAAGGGAAATAATGCACAAAGGGACTTAGCAATGTCCTGGCCCATAGCTAGATGACAACTAAGTGGTGGTTATTTTTACCCTATTTCCTTGATTCTAAGGCCAGTTCTTTTTTTTCCTTTTCCCACATTTCACAATTCTGAACTTAGAACAGGCTTTACCATCACTTTCTATAGTGATTTGTTTTCCCTCGCAGATCATTGTTTAGAATGTAGGAGACAAACAGAAGTAGCTTTACTTGGGCGGGCGTTGTGCCGTACGATCCTCAAGGCAGACTTCAATCAGTGTGCGGAATGGAAGCAGATGCCGTCTAGAAATGAAAAGTTGGGAGAATCACATACAACTGCAGATGTCCTGTGCCCAGCAAATGACACCTCTCGGGTAGGATATGGCAGTGTGTAGTAGCTTCTGGAGACAGACTTGGACTCTGCCTCTGGCTCTGCCGGTCCCGTGCTGTGTGAGCCTGCCCCGGTCAGGTAACTTCTCTGGGCCTCTGCTTCCTCCCATCCAGTGGGGCTCATGACCCCAACTCTGCTGTGACTGGCTCCGAGATGCATGCGAGTGACTACCAGAGTAGGCTTTGCCACCTGCAAGCACCCAGTGAATGAAGCTGTCAGCTACTGTCCCTGGAGGTAGCCTCTCTCCTCCAACCCTTTGAGGGCAGGAGCGTGTCTTACTTTTGCAAACCCTGTAGTTCTAGCAGGGAGTGGCACTGCAGAGAACATGCAAGCACATGGAAACATTTGCTGAGCACCCGCTGTGTGCCAGACAGTGCAGTGGCGGGAAGAACAGACGTGACGTGAGCCTTGACAGAGCCCATTTCCATGGCTCCTGCTCAGCCCAGAAATGGTGCTGGCTGGGGAGGAAAATGCCCATGTGCCCTAGGTCAATTCTGCTTACACAACCTTACCCATCAGCCTGTGTGTGACTGTGGACGATGGCCTTCTGCATGGCACGGTGCTGTGAGTGGGGTGGGGAGGTCAATGTGGTCCCCGTGTGTTGGCGTTGAGAGGTAGGTGTGGGGAGCACGGCTGGACATCACCTGTAGGCCTGAGCAAGGCGGGCAGGGGCCCTGGAGTGTGTGTGAGTGAGAGGAAGGGTGAGGGAGGAAGATTTGGTGTGGAGTGTGTGGACTAGGACCTGCTGGTGGTGGAGGAGGCTCACGTGGCTGTGACCCCAGGCCCACAGCCTCTCACCATAGCTCTGATCTCCGAGGTGCCCCCCCTTGTGTTCAGGTATGGAGAGTGCTCTGTATGGGACAGGAGGTGCCTCCTGCTCGGTGTGAGCTGAGATTGCCCTGCAGAGCCTGGGGTCGTGGTCACTGGGCTCTGGGGCGCCTGTAAACTCCCAGTAATGACCACCTGGACCTTGGGCCCCATGCCAGGTGCCTGTCTGCATTCTTCATCAGGGAAGGCAGAGGACACTGGAAAAACCAGTTTGGGTGTATGAGGCGCATTTTTTATGTTGATGTCAAGGGAGTGCTGGACTTTAGGAGGGAGCTTAGGAGCCTAGAAATGTATCTTTAAAATCTGGCTTTTTCAGAAAGTTAGATGTGTTGATGAGGTCAACAAGACCCTTTCATGAGTCATGTCTTCTCAACAGGCTGGTGGGCAGGACGAGAGTTTGGGATTTGTGCCTTTTCCCTCTGATGGGGAAGGCGCCCAGCACATCACCCTGAGCAGGGCTGGGGCTTGGTGCAGTCAAGAAGTGTTGGCCGGTCATGTCCTTAGAGACCTTCGTAAAGTGGAGAGAAGAGCTGGCTGAGTGGGCTGCGTGCTCCCAGTGTCACGGCCAGGCCCGGTGGGGGCCGTGGCGAGTGAGCTCCAGGACCACGGGCTGTGTGGCTCTGCTCACCTCCCTGCCCCGAGGGTTCCCTCTGTGTTTCGCATGTGATTGTTGCTAGGCAAATTTGGAATGAATTATTCAGTTGCCTATTCTTTGCCCATTCTGTTCTTCATGGGTGAGGAGTGGGTTTCCCGTGGCTGCTGTGTCAAGTTACTGAATGCCTTAACTTAAATAACAGAAGATTATTTGCCCACAGTTCCGGAGGCTAGAAGTCAGAAATCTGGCAGGGCCACCTTCCTTCTGGGGGACCTGGGGGAAACTCTGTTGGCCTCTGACAGCTTCTGGTGGCTCCAGGCATTCCTTGACCTGTGGCCCCATCAGGGCGATCTCTGCCTCCGTGGTCACATGGCTGCCTCCTCTCTTGTCTTCTCTGTGTGTCTCTCCGGAGCACACCTGTCACTGGATTTAGGGCCCTCCCAGGTAATACAGGATGATCTCCTCATCTCAGAATCCTTGACCTAATTCCATTACGTGCTAAGACCTTATTTCCAAAATAAGGTCACATTCCCGGGTCTTGGGGATTAGGATGTGACATTATCTTTTCGGAGACCACCATTTAGTCCACTACGGGGTGGGGTGGATCGTGGGAGAATGTTTCAGTATTTTTCTAATCACTTGCTTTTTTAGATATATGATGGCTCTTAGCCACTGGGTTTGCTTTTCCTAGTTTGTTGTTTATAATAAGTTGTAAAATTCATACATGTATGTAACTTTAAGTTTTATATAGCTATATTTCCTTTTCTTCCCATGATTTTAGGATCAGAAAGTCCTTCTCTGTTGTCTGATAGTCATTCATGTTAGAATAAAACCTTAAGAAATTGACTTTTTAAAAAAATTGACAAAAATTGTGTATATTTATCATGTACATGTTTTGAAATATGTGTACAGAATGGCTAAATTGAGCTAATATATGTATTACCTCACATACTTACCATGTTTTTGTACTAAGAAAACATCTCTTAGCATATTCAAGGACGTAAGTACATTATTAGTAACTATAGTCACCCTGTTTGTTGTACAATAGATCTCTTGAACTTATTCCTCCCATCTAACTGAAATTTGTTTCCTCCGACCAACAACTCCCTACTCCCCTCCACACCAAGAAATTGACTTTTTAACCCAGCGGTAACTTGTTTTGATATTTGCTGTGAGGTATCTGCACTTTGAAAAAATAGCCGGCCTCTCCATGTAATAAAATGTCATGGCCCTGTATACACGCGCGCGTGCAAAGAGAGAGAGGGACGGCCAGAGAAGTCCGAGTGAGGCCTCCGCGTTGTGAATTGCACCGTGCCAGGGTCGGCTGCCTGGTTTGATGACGTGCGGGGGTTGCCTCAGATGCCACCCCTGTGGGATGCTGCAGGAGGGTACTCAGGGCTTGAATGCACTGTTTTTGTAACTTCTTGTAGGGATCTTATAATTATTTAAAATAAAAAATTTGGAAAGCGAATCAGATTTACCAGTACCAATTATCAAATAATTTATTCTCTTGCTTGTAAAACATCCTTTATTGAGTCGGGACATGCGCTGGAATGTTTTAGAGTTGTGTTTAACATTTAATTTGGGAAACACTGACATCGTTCGATACATGTGTTGTGGTCTTCCCCCCAGGAACGTGGTGTATCCTATTTATTCAAGCTGTATTTTATCTTTCAACAAAATGTGTGTAGTTTTCTTCAGCTTATTCATAGACACTTTTTAAAGTTTTTTGTTGTTATGGATGAATCTTTCTTCCGTTTGTGTTCTCTAACCTGCTTGTGCTGGTTATATGTCACTGAACAGAACCCCCCACACCCTTTCAGATACATGAAATTCTTTTAACTGGTAAAAAGCTTTTCAGTCTGCCATTAGAGACAATGTTTAACAGGCTTCTTCGTTCCTTTAAACCTGCTCTTGGGAAGGGTATGGTGAGTTATTTACTCTGTAATGTGAATTTAAGTAGCTGTGTTCTCCATCCAAGTGTGCGGGGGGAGGGATTGTAAAGACATAGGAATTTGTATTCTGTAATTTTCACGCTAACTGTATTTTCCTGGATCTGTTTCTTTGAAAATTATAGAGGTGCTGTCTCTGGAGGATCACGTGCTGTATTGCCTGGAGTGTCCTAGGCCCGACCAGGCTGGTGGACAAATTGGCTGTCAGTCCAGCGAGTGGGCTCGACTGACCATGGACTCTCTTCTCTGCTTTGCTCCTTGGCCCAGAGGCCTGGGTGGGCACTGCGGGTGTTGAGAAGGCCGCTAACTGGGGATCTTCAATTTGGAAACATTCAAATGGAAAATGTGCTCTTCATCCCCACCCAGGTCAGTCTTATGAAATCCGACTGCTGGAGAATCGGAAGCTGGGAGACTTTCAAGATCTGAACACAAAGTATGTCAAGGTAAGCCTCAAGGGCTGCTCTGCCCTGGGGGGGCTTGGCTGGGGTCTGTGCACTTGGGCTTGCTAGGGAGTGGCTGGGTGGTTGGGGGAAGGCTTCAGAGGGAGAGGCGGGGCTCAGCTCGGCCCTCATCAGTGAGAGGCAGCCCCTGTTCCCATCTCTGGAGCATATTGTCCAGGTGGGGATTAGACCAAGAGCCAGAGTGGCTTGGGCTGATGGGACAGGCTCTGGGTTGGACAGGCTCAGACTCAAGCCTGGCTTTGCCACTTACTGTACTTTTCTGAGCTTAGTTTTCTCATCTGCACAAAAGGGTTAATAAATGAGACATGTCTGTAAAACACTTAATCCTGGGGAAACCGGTAGTCATCGCTGTTATTATTGTTGGTGGTGTTATCGGGGCTCTGGGAGGCAGTAGCATGCAGAGCTCAAGAACTGGGATGGAAACTCCAGGAGAAGGGCCTTGAAGGGTGGGCTCAAGGATGGAGGTGTGTTCCTCTTGGGCTCCTCATGGCCCCACACTTAGCTGTTCCCCCGCTGGCCTTCCCTCCCCAGAGCATCATCCGCGTGGTTTTCCATGACCGCCGGCTGCAGTACACCGAGCACCAGCAGCTGGAGGGCTGGCGGTGGAGCCGGCCCGGAGACCGGATTCTGGACATTGGTGAGTCTCCTCGCCGGGCGAGGCCCTAGCAAGGCCCAAGGCCCCCAGGCCACGTTGGGCTTCTTGGTCGCCATCTGAACCCATGCCTACCTCACTCCTACCCTGTGGGAGCTTGCAGAGATGGCCATGCCACTGGAGCCTGTCCTCAGGGAGCTCCCTTTTTCAGTGGAAAATTCCTGTGGAATTCAAAGACCTGCTGTCAGGGAGTTCCAGGAAGGCTGTGCAGAAGGATGGAGACTTAAAGGATTTTGATAAATGATGAAAGGAAGCATGAGCATCATAAAGCTAGATGGGCAACAGAAATGGAATTTGGGGGGCCCAGGTACCAGCTCATAGTCCTTTATCCATAGCCCTTGGGGTCCATTGGGTTTGGAATTCAGAAGCTAAACGACAATAGGTACATACACCCATAGCATCAGGGAACACTGCCAACCGGCAGTCAAGCCCAGTAATACTCCTGCAGTGAGGTAAAATGACGTTCACACAAAATGGGATAAAGACCACTGAGAGCCTCGTGGTGATTCCTGTAGGGCTTTCTGCCAGATGAGTTATGCACTACTTGATTTTCAGAGCTTTTGGCATTTCACATTGGGGTGAAGGAATTTGGACCTGTAACGAGGGTCTTTCCCTAAATATTTGGGAGACGCTGACAGTTGCCCTTTTGTGTGTGTGTGTATGTGTATGCAGATATTCCACTGTCTGTTGGTATCTTGGACCCCAGGGCCAGCCCGACCCAGCTTAACGCAGTCGAATTTTTGTGGGACCCTGCCAAGAGAGCGTCTGCGTTCATTCAGGTAAGCGGGAGGAAGCTCGCCGTTCAGGGGCAAGCTGGGCGTTGGAGCGTCCAGCTTGCAGTTTCTCAAAACTAACCGGTCCAGAAGGGCCTGGCTGGGCTCCTGGTCTCTGTTGCAGGGGAAGAAACTGCAGAAGAGAGGGTATGAGTGTTACTCAGAGTCACAGCTACTTGGTCCATGGGGCTGGGGAAAGGACTTTGGAGGGTTTTAGAATTCTGTTTGGGTTTCGCTTACAGATTGTATGAACTTTTTTTTTTTTTTTTTAAGATAGATTCTGGCTCTGTCACCCCAGCTAGAGTGCAGTGGTGTCATCATAGCTCACTGCAACCTCAAAGTTCTATGCTCAAGCGATCCTCCTCCCTCAGCCTCCTGAGTAGCTGGGACTACAGACATGTGCCACCATGTCCGGCTAATTTTTTTATAGAGATGGAGGCCTCACTCTTGCTCAGGCTGGTCTCGAACTCCTGGCCTCAAGCTACTGCACCTGGCTAGATAAGCTTTTAAAAAATAAGTTATTTCCTAGCGTAAATGATTTGAAAGTAAAATTTTTTCCAGTTTCTGTTGTTGAATGAGTATTTTTAAGCCTCTTAGTTTTCCCACCTATTTTATAAATCAGATAATGAATATGAAGCCATTAACACAGTGCCTGGTCCATACGAATCACTCAAGAAAAGTTAGCAATCTTTTCATTTTTTTACATAATTATAGCATTCTTGCTGTATATAAAAATTATTACAGTGTTATTATATTATTACACTTATATATTGAGTTATATTATTACACCATTATAACAAAAAGTATATACTGAGCGCCTTCCATGTGGCAGGTACTTACCAGAAATACAGAAATCCTTCCAGCCTTCTAGCTGTGCTTCCAGCCTGGGCCAAGTAACTTGGACACCAGGACATTAGAGACAGGTCAGGGCGATCCTGCGGCCCCTGCCCTGAAGTCTGTAGGACTCACCAGGGAGAGGTCTTGGGGTGAGGGGCAAGGCTGGGGCTGTTGGGGTGAGTGGCCTAGAGCAGTGGCAGGGACCCAGCCGTCAGGCAGGGCCTCCACAGTAGAGGGACAAAGGTGGGAGAGCTGTCTCTTGGGGCAGGGGAATGGGGAGGCCACGGGCCTGGTGGAGTGGGTGGAGGTAGAGGCAGACCTGCACTGACGAGGCAGGGAAGGACACCTGCGCGTGGAGAGGAGCCAGCGCAACTGCCCCATCTGCCCTCCCAGGTGCACTGTATCAGCACAGAATTCACCCCCAGGAAGCACGGGGGCGAGAAGGGCGTGCCTTTTCGAGTGCAGATCGACACGTTTAAGCAGAACGAGAACGGAGAGTACACGGAGCACTTGCACTCGGCCAGCTGCCAGATCAAGGTGTTCAAGGTAGGACGGCCTCGCACGCGCCACCCGCCCTCACCCGGCCTGCAGTGACCTTTGAGATTCCTGTTGGAAGCGTAGCAGGGGGCACGGCGTCCCTTTAGCACAGGGCTTCCCCCGGACGTCTATGAGCACGACCGTGCGTCTGGGGGTGACGGCTGCCTCTGCCCTGCTGGGGACGTCGTCTCACCTCAGGCACCTGCCCGGCGTTTGGCAGAAGCATTGGCATCCCTGCATGTTAGTCCTTGGCTCCGCTTTATAAGAATGGTTGGATTTGCACATTTTCGGGGATTTTTATTTTTCCAGGCACTTTATAATTGCCCACAGGCGCTCACATCCAAATTCTCCTTAAAAATCAAGTCAGGAGGCCCTCCCTGCTGGGGCCTGGCCTTGGGTCTTCCTGGCTAGGGCCTGTGGCCTTTTTTCTCTCTGCAGCGGCTTCCTGCTGGAGCAGCATTTCCAGAGGCACCTCCTCTCTTTTCCTTTCTTGCTTCATTCCCTGCAGTCACCTGATACTGTTTTCCATCTCCTCAATCTGGACTGATTATTTCCTGAAGATGGTAGCCAGCGATGCGGCTCGCGGTCCGTGTGGCCTTGGGGAGATAGGGAGGGTTGCAGCAGAGCCTGCGTCGTTCCGAGGGCGTGAGGGCGGCCCGTGCCCCTGCAGGCCCCGCCGGCCTGAGCGACTCCGGCGGGTGTCCGTGGAGAGGGAATGGGCCCACTTCTCGGCAGGGATTGCCTTGAGTAACCAGCCCCCGTGCCTGTCCTGTCGTCCCCTTCTTCCACATTCAAGTGAATTTGGGTTCAGCTGGAAAAGTTTCAGCTGCTGGCACTGGAGACCCCAGAGGGAGTCGCTTCAGATAGGGCCTCGTTAGAGAGAAAGCTGGGTGCGCGTTGATCTTCCCCCAGATTTCAGGCGCTGGCTTGTGTAAGGCCCACGCTTGGGTTGGATGTGGAAATAACCCACAGGAAGAACCATAAACCTGGGGGCTGAGTGGTTGATCTGTTCCCAGCTAGATGGGCAGCCCCGGGAGACAGGGACTGTGCCATCTCCCTCTCTGCAGCAGCTTCTGCAGAGCCTGGCACACAGTGAGCTATTGGCAGCGGGTTGAGGAAGGCGCCAGTTACTGCTGCCGTCTGTAGGAGGAGCCAAGCGGAGTTGACAGTATCTGTGCTTGGGAGACCACACTGCCAGGCTGCTGGTGTCCTCTGCAGGGGCAGGGCCTGGCTGCCCAAGGACCGTGGACAAAGGATTCTGAGGCCCTGGCTGGGCTCCGTGGATTGGGACGTGGAGTTGGTCAGTTGGTGATGCCGACTGACCGGGTGGGAACGGAGAAGTGGTGGTGGGAATGGTTGTGTGTCTTTCCTGCCAGAGCGGTGGCACCTTCCGACACCCACTCCAGGGTGACAAAGCAGTGGGAAGAGTCTCTGCTGCGTTTGTACCCTATCGCCCCTGTGACAAATGCCTGCAGATTTAGTGATGTAAAACTGCGTATATTTATGATCTTGCAGTCCTGGCGGTCACAAGTCTGAAATGGGTCTTGCCGGGCTGACGGTGTCACTGGGGGGCTGCATCTCTCCCTGGGGGCTTTAGGCGAGTCTGTATTGCTTTGCCTTTTCCAGCTTCTAGAGGTCAGCCCATTCCTCGGCTCACGGCCCCGTCCCCATCTTCAAAGCCAGCAAGGGCAGGCTGAGCCCTTCTCACGTGGCCCACCCGACTCCCTCTCCCTCTCCCTGTGATTATCGGGCCCACCCGATAATCCAGGATAGGCTTCCTATTTTAATGTTGTCACTTAGCAATCTTAATTCCATCTGAAACCTTAATTTTCATGCATATTCACAGGTCCTGGGCATTAGGATGTGGTCATCTTTGGGGACCATTATTCTGCTGACCATGTCCACCCATGTGGTGGGCTCTGTGGCCTCTGGTCTTTCTGCCCACTCTGGAATCTGGTGCTCCTGGTCCCCTCCCGCCCCCGACATCTCCACAACTGCGCTGGTGGTCTTTGCCTGGCCTGTGGATCTTCTGTTGCTCTGGTTACCTGCCTCGCCTCGTGCACGGATCACATCTGTGGTCCCTCCAGGCAGCAGTTCACTTCCTCACCCAGGGACGTGGGTTTAATTCTACTGCTCTCACGGTGTGTGCCCTGGGAAAGAGGCGCCACGCTGGGCAGCAGGAGAGAGAGGAAGGGGGTGGGGGTCTCTGCCCCACGGAGCGCCGCGTCCTTCCTGAGGCCCCCTCTCCACACCTGCATCAATGCTTAGCAGTTAGGGTTCTGCCCACCGGCCCTTCACACACGCCAGGCATTGCTTGGGGAGTCGGACTGGAAGCTGCCTTGCCTGAGTGCCCCAGGAAGGCCTTGGCCTCTCCTGCTGGGGGGTGTGGCAGTAGGAGCCCTTAGTCACCCGAAACTGACTGCTCAGGATGCCTGAGGAGGTATGTGCACCCATCCACCCACCCCCATCCATGGGAGCAGATGAGACGGTTGTGCATAAGCCAGGCCGACTGAGCCAAACTGTCGGTCACCCCTCCTCTGCCGGCCATCGCACTCACTGGGGAACCCTGGCTTGTTGGAGCTGCACTCTGGGGCTCTGTGTGGGGTGCCAGGGCCTTTGCAAGGAAAGGCGGGGCCCCTCTCTGACCAGCGGGCTCCCCGTAGGCCTCATTGAGGCCGAGTCCATGCAGGCTTGGCCTCTGGCTGTAACCCGCCTTTCCTGTAGCCTCTGTGCAGGGAGGAGGGGCCTCCCGAGGGACAGGAGCCGGAGGTGGAGTAGGGAGGCCAGGTCACACGTCCAAGGTCCTGGTGTCTACCCTGGCCCCAGCCTCACTCTCACACTGAACACTGGATCTGACTGATGTTCACAGCTCCCTGTGACCCCCTGCAGCCCTGCCTCCCTGCGGGGCAGGCAGCACCCTGGGGCCGCTCCCTGGAAACCCTTGAGCTGGGAGCCCAGAGCTGCAGCCTGAGGAAGGTGCCATTGACTTTGCACTACCTTTTTATTGCCCGCCCACCGTGCGTGGTCAGCTCTAGTGCTGCTTAGAGTCTGTGTCTGAGCTTGCCAGCTAGGCCATGTGCTCATAAGACGTACATACTCAGGAGACGACACAGTGAGGTCCATGAGGTCCCAGAGTGGGGCCTGCAGGGCCAGCCCTGGGTGCTGCTCACCTGGCACTCTCACCTGGGTCCTCTCCAATCCTGGGGAATCACTTCAGTCTCAGGTTCCCAGTCTGTAAATGAGGGGAACAATAGTAGCTGTGAAGCCCGTACACCATTTGTGAGTCGCTCAGGTTTGCAGGGCACCAGCACTGGTGGTCTCCCCCTCTGCACCTTGGCCATGCGAGGATGGAGACATCACCCTGCACAAGGAGTGTGAGCTGGGGGATCGGCAGGGGTCCTAAGAGTCGGGGGCGGGGCTACCTTCAGCTCATGTCAGGATGTCACAGCCTGCAGGCGTAGCCCAAACCCAACGAGCAGCCCCTACCTCTTCCTCTTCCCTCTGCTCTCCATGGGTAGCCCAAGGAATGCATTGTGGCTCCCAGCATTCCTTGTCATAAGCAGGTGGCCATCGGTAAGGATCTTTTCCCAGCATTTCCACGTGAGCAGGCTCTGAGTTACTGGCAGGGCCATGTGTTTGAAGACCGGGAGGGAGAGAGGTGCTGTCCCGTCTGTGAGATCCTGCCCGCGCTGCTGGGGCTCTGGCCGAGGTAGAGAGCGTGCAGGCCTTGGGGGCCGCTGCTCAGTCTTCCTGTTGGGTCTTCCTCCTCAGCTGCCTTTGTCCACTTGGACTAATCGTACCCCGTGTTCTGCTCCTGCAGCCAAAGGGAGCTGACCGGAAACAGAAGACCGACCGGGAGAAGATGGAGAAAAGAACAGCCCAGGAAAAGGAGAAATACCAGCCGTCCTACGAAACCACCATCCTCACAGAGGTGAACCGGCGCGTGCCAGGAACGGAGCCTCCAGGGGCCTTCCACCAGGAGCAGGGTTGTTGGTTTGGATTCTTGGAAAGTTGCCCATCTTGGGTGAGGCTTCTGAGCGCGCCCATCCAGTTGTGGCGGTTCCTAGCGTCTGGAGCTCGTGTTTGTCCCAGAGACTGGAGAAGTGTTTCAGAAATAACTTCAAGCTCTCTGCTGCCTTGGAATGCGTTTATGCTTTTCAAAATTAGGTTATTTTTGTTTTTTTGAATAGGTAATGTATTCACGTGGTTCAGAATTCAAAAGGTGCAAGAGAGCGTACAACGGAAATGTCCCTCGCGACGCCGTCCTAAGCTCGCAGTTTCTCCAGGGGCGGCCGGTGTCTCTGGTTCCTTGTGTGTCTGACCTGACTTCCTCTGCATATGAAGCCTGCTTTTCTACACCAGTCGCGTACATAGACACATGGTTTTACACGTCGCTCTTTTCAATTAATAGCTAATCTCAGCATTCCTAAAGAGCATTCTAGTTCCTTACCTGGCTGCATAGCATCCACGTGCAACGGCCTGTTGGTGGACACGTGGTTGTTTCCGGGCTGTTGTAATTTCAGACAAGGGTGCAGTGAATCACTGCACATGTGGAGGTCTGTACGTGGGAAGAATCTGCAGGTTTCTGTTCTCAGAGTGGGGCTGCTGGGTCAAGCACTTGCTATGTTGTTTGGATAGATGCTGGAATGCGTTTTCTCTTAACTCTGACACTGTCGCCAGCCTGCTCCAGCCTCCTGGTGTCAGGGGGAGCTGCGAGGCGCTCCTCATCACGACCTCCTCCTCTTCCCGATGCGGGTCACAGCCGGCACCACCTCTGGGTGCTGATATTTTAGAATGACTGTTCCCCACTGTGTTCTGCATCAGGCCCACTGATTGGTGTTGGTTTGCTCACTGAGTGATTGGACTTACTCAGAGGCCGTGTGAGCATGTGGAAGGCCCGTGCTGGCCATGGTGGGGTGAGGCTGTGTCAGGGGCGAGGCACAGGGTGTCTAAGAGAACGGCGGCCTGGGCTCGGCTGACGAGGCGCCGCGTGTACGTGTGTGTGTGTGTAATAAGCCATATGCAGACAGTACAAAAGCTAATTCTGTGGCTCAGACAGATGTGTACTGTTATTTGACTGAGAGTAGCAGCGGCCAGAGAGCCGTGGTGCAGGAAAAGTCCTGGCCCACCCTCGGCCAGCACAGGAGTGGCAGGACGCAAGGACTGTGCTTATGGATTAGAACTTGCAACAGCCTCTTCCCGTGCCTCGTTCCTGCTTGTGCAGGTGGCGTGTTCCCCCACCCGGCGACACCTTTCTTTTCTGGATGGTCCTCAACTTCTCTGTGCCTCTCCTAACTTCCGCTTCCCGGAGAGGTCCCGGTGAGCCTCACGCGGTGTCTGAGCCCTCGTCACAGGGCGGTGTAGTTGCGGAAAACGCCGCCTCCCCGGCTGGGACCTTGCGAGGTGCCAGCCGCCCCTTCTGTGAGCGCATTGGTGCTCCTGCACGGGCTGAGGGATTTAGCACCGACACATTCCAGCCCACGCTCACAGCACGGTTAATATTTACCAGCCCTGTGTTTCCGTGGGCGACGGTAAATCTTCAGGAATGCTTCAAATCGGCCCTCTCTAAGGAGGTGTCGTGGCAGGGAAGGAAGAAGCGAGTACTTTGTCCGCTGGCCTCCCCCAGCAGGCAAAACCTGTGTGCCTGTGCTTTCTCTGGGAGACTCCAAGTGTGTTTTCGTTTTTGCTTCTGCACTGGAGGCTTTTTGAGGGCAAGGATCACATCTGTCATGTTCTGTGTCTCCTGTGGCCCCAGCAGGATGCCTGCGGTGTACTGAGCACACGCGGGATTCTCAGAGAAGCTGCTCTTGTGAATTGTGCGAGTGCTTCTGCCCTGTCGGCAGGTTCTTTTTCCAAATAGCCCAGGGTGTTTTTTTAGTATTTTTTTAAATTTATTTTTTGAGAAGGGGTCTTGCTGTGTTCCCCAGGCTGGTCCCAAACTCCTGGGCTCACGGGATCCTCCTGCCTCGGCATCCTGAGTAGCTGGGACTACAGGCGTGCGCCACTGTGCCCGGAGTGCAGGTTCTAACACCGAGTCTTACTGGCCATTTTTTGTCTGGAAGTTGCCTGGGGTCCATCTGGTGCTCCTGTAACACACATTTACATGCATTTATCTGTACCAGGAAAAGCTGCTTCTGAGCAACTAGCCTGTTTTATTTTTCCTTCTCTTTTCCTGTGGACCCAAGAATCACATGAGAGACACATTTCCCACTTTGCTCACCGAATATTAGGTGTCTTCTCTGCCACATTTGGTTTTCTCGTTGTGGCCCTCGTACCCTGCCTGGCTGCGGCTTGCTGTGGGTACTGGGTAGATTCGTGCTGCCTGTTGAGGGGTCAAAGGTCTCATGTGCTGACGTCGGCCGGTGCTTGCTTGGGAGGGCCTGGGAGCACAGGTCAGTACTTCTGCAGACTCCAGCTCATCTGAGGACCTTGTGCTCTCTCCACAGTGCTCTCCGTGGCCTGATGTGGCCTACCAGGTGAACAGCGCCCCGTCCCCCAGCTATAATGGCTCTCCGAACAGCTTCAGCCTCGGCGAAGGGTACGTCCCACCTTTCTCCCTTTGGTTCCCTGGAAGGAAGACAGGTTTAGGTTCCTTTCTTGACCTTCTCTGGGTCTTCTCTCCTTTCTGTTTGGCATCTGTTGAGGTCCCGGAGTGGCCAACTGGTGTTGCAGTCACAACCACTTTTAGCATTTGCACAGCTTTTTATGCTTGGAAACACTTCTATAAACGTTGTCTGATGGGACAGCAGCCCAGAACTTACCCAGTAAAACCAAGACTGGCCTGAGGGTGCGTTAGGATAGCCACCTAAGACTGCCTCAGGCACCCTGTGCGGTGGAACAGCTCTTCCGGCCAGCGGAGCCTTAGAGAACAGCTGTTGAGTGGCCCTGGTGGCCGGGAGGGCTCTTTGTGGTTCTTCGTCCAGCACTTGTGTACATCCGCTGAGTGGAGGGGGTCCAGTTAGGTCCTCCCCGCCCGAGGTTTCAGGGCTTGTAACAGAAGCTGGCCTCACTGCTGCCCGCCGAGCTCTGCAGATGACACAGTGGTGGCCGGACAGGAGCTTGAGGCCGTTTTCTGACTGTCTCGGGCTACAGGGCATCACCAGGACAGGGGCAGAGGCGAGGGCAGGCCAGGGGGGAGCCCGCATGGTTTCTGCCTGCAGGTTCCTCGGAGCCTGTGCTTACAGACGGAGAACTTTTCCAATGCGACCGTGAGATCGTCTGTGAACCTGACTTTACCAAAGTGAAGGGTCCTCCTGCGGGGGAGGGTGTAGACAGAGAAAAGTGTCATATTTAGATGCAGGCAGGCCTCGTCTTGAATCTGTACCTGTTAGGGGGCGACTTCCTCGACCTCCCTGAGCCTGTTTTCCTGCTATGGAAGGGGAGTGAGTTCCGCGTGGGGTGAGGAGGAGCGTGTGAGCAGCGCTCCGCCCCCGGAGATGTTTGATGCAAAGCGCCGTTTTCACTGATGACTGCGCTGAGGGTCATCCCTCAGAAAAGGCTCTCTTCTTCCATTCTGGTAAACTATACATAACACAGGCTTTGCCATTTTGGCCATTTTTAAGCGTTCGGGTTGGCGGCTTTACATTCGCGTTGTTGTGCAGCCGTCGCCACCGTCCATCCGGGAGGGCCATTCAGAGTGTGTCTTTCTCCTGAAAAGCCGGGTGTTCACGTCTGCGCCTGCTCCCTGAGAGGGCCCTGCAGGAAGGTTGCATGCCTCCCTCTGGGGAAGAACCAGGACAGTGTGTTTCCTCGCGGGTCGACGCCCAACTCTGGGTGCTGATTCACTGCCAAACAGTTGCCCTGGGCTTTCACCCTGTCCTGTCACGTCACAGAAACGCGTGTGGTCGGTGGCCCTTTGGTTTGGCTGCAGCTTTCTGGGTGCCAAGTCGCCAGTAGGGCGGCCTGGGTCCCCCATGTCCACCCTTTCCCTGGGGCTAGGGCTGGGGTGGGACTGAGTGGGGGAGTTCTGATGAAGGCTTCCGTCGGTCAGACCTTGGTGAAAGGGGACTGTCGTTGGCTGGGATGGCATAGCCTGTTAGCGCATCCTGTCCACACTGGAGCGCTCCCTGGGGATTTTGGGGGACTGGACGTTGGCTCCTGCCTCCGTCAAATTCGTGAGCACCCATTTCATTTAAAACAAGTCCTGCGCCTGCCCAGAAGTGAAAGGGCCAGGCAGCTGACAGGACCCCTGGCACGTCCCTTGGAGCTCTCTCTGTCCTCACCGCCTCTTCCTTTTCCTTTGCAGCAACAATTCCCCGACCCACCCGGCGGAGGCCCTGCCCGTGGGCAGTGACGTAAGTGTGCGCACCGGGCTCTGTGGCTGGTGGTCCCCGGGGTTGCCGAGCCGCGTCTCATGGCCTCCCCTCTCTGCCCGCAGCACCTGCTCCCGTCCGCCTCCATCCAGGACGCCCAGCAGTGGCTCCACCGCAACAGGTTCTCGCAGTTCTGCCGCCTCTTTGCCAGCTTCTCGGGTGAGTGTCTCTGAGTCGTGCCTAAAACCATGAGCATCTTGGAGACACTCGGTAAGGCCAGTCCCGCTCCAGGACTTGCCGTCGGCCCCTGGGGGCAGCGGTTTTGTCCGGGAGACCAGAGCGTGTGGGTTCACTCGCCCTCGTGTGCCGACCCTGTGCCAGATGCTCCAGATGCTGCCCCCAGAAGGCCCCAGTTGAGTGTGACCGTAGGGGACTGTCTGGGTCCCCTCACCTGTGGTGGGGGTGGGCTCAGCTCTGCCCAGGAAGTGTCCCCTAGCCAAGCAGGGTGACGCAGGGCTTCTTTGCCCTTTTCCTACTGAAACACTGCTCGTCACGCTGTCTCCAAAGCCACAACCTGGGAGATGGAGGTGAAGCCACAAGTGACACAGGAAAACTGCTTCTTCCTTCTTTAAAAGGTTCTGAAGCCCTTTCTGCTGGGCCCTCGGTGAGGAACTGAGCAGTGGGCCTGGCCACCAAGTAGCATCAATCCCGAGTGACAAAGTGAAGGTTTGTCCACAGCTAGAGGAGCAGTTCCCGAGGACACCTGTGGCAGCGGAAGGGAAACAGCAGCCCTTCGTCTGCCAGCTCGGCCTAGGGGCCTCTTCGTGTTGGGGGGAGGGTTCGAGGAGGGCCAGACGGTGACAACCCTGCAGCTTTGAGTCAGCGCAGACACGTAAATCACCCACTTCAGTGCCGAGACCGTCTGTGATGGGGGTCGGGGGCTCAGGGGAGGAGGGTGGTCGGCCACAAGGTGGGCACCTGCCTGGGTGGCCGCAGAGCGGAGGACCCCGAGGGTTGGGGTGGAGTGGCTCTGGGGAGGAGGTGAGGTCAGAGAGGCCCTGAGGGGCACGGATAGGTCGGGGCCTTGGGAGAACAGTGGGAGGACTTTGGCGTTTACTCCCAATGGAAAGGGAGCCATTGTGCCTGCGGAATTGTGTCTAAACCGTCTTGCTGTGGCAGGAGGAAGGGTGGGAACCGTGGCTGTGGGCAGGTTCTCAGCAGAGGCTGATGTCACACTTGAACCTTGGACGGTCCACGTGGGCTCAGGCTCTGGGGCACCACTGGGCTTTGAGAAAAGGGGTTGCCCTCATGCTGTGCTCACCTCTTACCCCACTGTTCTCCTCTGTCGCCATGAGGCAGTGCCTTCCTGTGTCCTTTAGCATGGGCCGGTCCTCCTACACGGGACGCAGCACCGCGGGAGACTCTCAGGCCGTGTCTGCTGGAGACAAACACAAGTGGGCCCAGGGCCCAGCGGTGCTCTTGGGGTAGACCCGGCAGACACGCACACACGTACTGACCACAGACAAGGCTAAGAATGTTCACAGAACCTGTTCATAACAGCCCCAGCCTGGAAGCTCCCCTACGGCCCATCCATGAGAGCGACTATGTGGATTGTGGTATATTCACGCAGTGAATGATTGATAGGAATGGGCGTGAACAGTCCAACTATATTCGGCATGAATAAAGCCTGAAACGTGACCTGGAGGCAGGGAAGCCGGCTCTGGAAGAGTGCCTGCCGTTCAAGTCTGCGTACATAAACTTCAGAGAACACACAAGACTCGTCTGCACTGCAAGACAGCAGGATGCGTCCCCAGAGGTGGAGGGGAGTGACGGCAGGACGGGCCTGTGGGAGGCTGGTGATGTTCTGCCTCTCGGTCTGCGTGCTGGGTACCGGGCGTATTCAGATTGTCAGCATACAGCAACCGTGTACTTGCGTATACAGAGATGCACACGTAGCCAGTGCCACGTGCCGAAGAAATCTATGCACACATTATACGCCCATACGGATTAAAGCAGTGGGGGCAGGCACAGGCATGAGCACCTATCGGCTTCTGTTCTCCTCGCTTTTGTGAGCACTGACATCTCCTGGGCTGTGACCATCTGATATCGTTTAGCTGTTTGCCGTTTCTCTCTCTCTGGGATGTCTGGTGCCCACCCCCACCCGCAGTGTGGGATCTGCAGGGGGTGGAGTTCTTCCTCCATGTCCCACGTAACCGACAGGCCTGCTGTCCTGCCTAGGTGCTGACTTGCTGAAGATGTCCCGAGATGATCTGGTGCAGATCTGTGGTCCTGCAGACGGGATCCGGCTCTTCAATGCCATCAAAGGCAGGTGGGTATGGGTTGCTCTGGGAAGCTGGCCGGAGGACACTGCCTAGCCGCGTGAGGGCGGGAAGCCCCAACCTCAGCCTCCTGGACGGCGGTGGGCTGGCTGGTGGGGACGGGTCCCTGGGCAGAGCCCTTCCTGCAGTGTGGCTGCGAGAGCAGGACGAGTGTGGGGAGAGGGCCACAGGCTGCAGCAGGGGGGTGAGACACACCCGGGAGTTGCAGCCAGTGCAACCCCTGCCTGGAAGCCACTTCCTGTTTTTGTTTTTATGCGAGTCTTGGCCTCTGGATCTCAGCCCTGTAGCCTCTTGCCCTGGGCCCCGAGCTGCCTTCTTCCCTGGGCAGCCGTGGATTGGGGAAGGTCAATTGGCATCTCGCAGCAGTTCCAGGGCAGACGCCAGAGCAGTGCCATTCTGCAGACCTTCCTGCCATGGCGGCCGTGGGCTGCAGCTGCGCTGCCCACTACAGGAGCCACTGGCCACGTGTGGCTGCCGAGACTTGAACCGAGGCTGATGTGATGGACAGACCGAGTTTTAAATTTTATTTAACTTTGGTGAATTTAAATTGTAATAGCCCCATATAGCTCAATTTTATAGTGACAGAGAGAGTGCTTGCGTTCGAACCCCAGATCTGCCTCTTCTGTGCTGTGCAGCGGGGGAAACAGTGAGCTCCAGTTCCCTGATCTGAGACGAGGGTGGTTGTCCCAGCTCCCTCGCAGGCTGTGTGTGGGCAACACGAGATGTGCACGTACAGTTCTGAGAACGGCCTGACATAGAGTCGACATTGGCTCTAATAGTGCCTGGAAAATGCCTCGTGTCTTGAGATTCGTGTTCTGGGCGGAGCACCCCCTCGGCAGGTTGCAGGAGCAGGGAAGGGCCCGCCCCTTGGCTTCTAGGCAGACGCCAACCATGACCGGCGTTCCCCATCCCCACCACGGTCTTTCTTCCTTCCCAAGCTCCGCACACTGCTGTTTCCATCCTGGAACATTCTGGAACAACAGCGCTGGGTTCACCACACCTGCTTTCTATTTTGTCTCCTCCCTCCAGGAATGTGAGGCCGAAGATGACCATTTATGTCTGTCAGGAGCTGGAGCAGAACCGAGTGGCCCTGCAGCAGAAGCGGGAGGGCAGCGGGGACAGCAGCCTGTGTGGTGAGTTGCGGGGGCAGAGCCGGGACCCAGACGTCGGACCCTGTGGCCTGGCTTCCGAGCCCGAGGTCCGGCCTCGGTCCTTTCCGGCGACTATGCGGGCCTCCCCTGTAGGGGACGGCTGGTCTCCTGGATTCCACACGCAGTACGGGTTTGCCCTCCTGCTGGCCCTGCGGCGTGGGCGGTGTCTAAGGCAGTGTTGCCAGCGTCAGCGTCGCTGTATCTCCAACTTGCTGACAAAGCAGTGCCCCCTGGTGCCCCCTTCTCCCCTGGGGGTCACAGTGCTCGAATGGAATGTGGGGTTTTTTGTAGAAAAGGGTGAGGACCAGTTATCTTTAATGTCACTCTTGGCCACATGAGGCCATCCAATAACCCTTCAAACAGTGAGTGGAAAGAGTGAAAAAGGGACACAAGATTTTCCCCTGTGTGGGTGCACATCTGGCTGCTGTCAGAACCGCCAGGTGCCCCTGCACGGCCAGCTGGGTGTCACTGGTCCGGCGCCAGGCTAGAATCTCTACATTCCCATCAGTGCCCCGAGAGAGGAAGAGAGTCACAGCCTGGTCCTGCCGACCTGCCCTGGGCATGAGCATCCTTTGCAGACTCACTGCTTTCTCAGGGTGGCTGGAGGGGTGTGGGCAGGCTCGTGCTGATTTAGTGGCCACTCAGAAAGCAGGCCTTGTTCCCCTCCCCCAGTGTACCACGCCATCTTCCTGGAAGAGCTGACCACCTTGGAGTTGATTGAGAAGATCGCCAACCTGTACAGCATCTCCCCCCAGCACATCCACCGAGTGTACCGGCAGGGCCCCACGGGCATCCACGTGGTGGTGAGCAACGAGGTGAGGGCTCCCGCCCGGCCAGCCCTGGTGAGGGGCTCTGGGCTGCGGGGTCGGGGGCCATCAGAACCCCTGCAACAGAAACACACTCTGGGGGCTTGGTGACAGGCGGGTCTATCTACCTGCTCTCGGCTGCTGTGGCTATCTTGGTCTGAATGGCTGTCCTGCTGGGTAGCCACTCGTCACCCCTTCTGTGGCTGGTGCCATGCAGGAGCCAGGAGCGCAGACTCCACCCCTGCGCCAGACGTGCTGCAGTCAGGGCTGTGGAAGTCGGGAGAGGGCACTCCCGTTAGGGGGGCGCGGGCGCCAGGCAGAGGGCACTCCCGTTAGGGGGGCGCGGGCGCCAGGCAGAGGGCACTCCCGTTAGGGGACGCAGGCCCCAGGGAGAGGCAAAGTGGGTTGGGGGCTGGGTGGCAGAGAGGCTGTGCCTTTTGGGAGAGGAGAGCAGAGGCCTCTGCTGAGTGATGAGGGTGCCACAGCCTTCCTGGGTCTGTCCCACTCATGGCCAAGGAGAGGGCTATTGAACAGGCTTGCCGGCAAGTTTAGGCATTCCTTGCGCATTTAGAACAGAGGCTTTCGGTTTGCTCTGCCCTCGACCCCTTCCTCCTAATAATAGTAGTAACACGTGCCAGCAATGGTGGAGTGCTTCTGTGTCCTGGCCACCGTAGTAAGCCCTCATAGCAAACCCTTTAATCCTGACTGCCTCCGTAGGAGGTGGATGCTGTAGGAAACTGAGGCCCGGAAAGGCTAATTGCACAGGTTACACGTTTGGCAAGGGTGGAGCTGTGGTGGGAACCCAGTACTCTGCCTGCAGGGTTTTCAACCCCTCCTGAACTGAAGCCTTTAAGCTCGGAGCTGTGCTGGTGGGAGCTGGGGAGGGACTCTGAACCCCCAGCTCAGCCCCCAGCAGACCCTAAGCCAGTTGTGGGAACTCTGAAATCCTCTGTGTTGAGGATTATAGGGGAAATTGCGTACAAGCATGGTGGCTGGTAAAAGTAGAGAAAATGTGGACTTTGGAGTTGTACCTAGAACTGCCTCCTAGCTGAGCCATCTTGGGGAAATTTACTTAACCTTTCTGTGCCTCAGTTTCCCCATCTGCAGAATGGGGATGCATATACCCATCAGACAGGTTGCAGTAAGGATAAAATGAGAGCAGAGCATCAGGTACCGGGAGACACCACATAAGCAATGGATCTTGTCGCTGACGTGCTCGTGCTGGGCACTTGTTATTTTGGAGAGCAAGTGGTGGAGAGATCTTTTTAGATTTGGGGACGTGTACAGGTGAGGCTTTCAAGGGTCTGTGTATTTCGTAAGTCGCTATTATTAGTATTAATCCTATCGCCACTTGTCATTACAACTGCCAGAGCCCTTTAATGTTCACGAGCATTTCATGGAGGGCGGCAAGGTGAACTTTTCCTTCCTTTTTAATTAAAAGGCATTCATAATTAGTGTGAGAAATTAAGCAATATAGAGGAGCAGGAGACAAATGTGCAAACCCCTTATCTTCCCCACTCTTTTCTCCTAGAGGAATTGATAGCAGGTTTGTGATTCTGCCAGGTAACTTTCTGTGCTCATGTCTGTGCGTGCCCTAATGCGCGCAGGTGTGGGTTTTAAAAAAACACGGCAAAGACCCAGCGGTACATTGACATGCAGCTTGCTATTTTTGTCACCATTTCAGAATTCCTTTTATATCATTCCATTCAAATCTAATGCGGCCTTTTTTTTTTTCCACCCCGTGTTACAAATAAGGACAATGAAGCCCGCGGTTCATGACTTGCGAGCTTACTTTAAGAGTAGCCAGGAAGGTGCATGTGCCCTGAGCAGTGGGTGTTGTAGTGGCACAGAAGCTTGTCACTTTGCAGTGCAAAATGCATTTCTTTTTATGAAGACAAAAGCCAAGAATGTGAGGAAGCCTTGCCATTTCGTGCGTCCCTGAAGGAAGTTCCTTCCCCGGCTTGCCCCGTGCAGAGTAGGCAGTTAAGCAAGTGGAACGGAGAACAGAACTCAAATGCCACCTTGGCTAAAGTAGGAGATTCTTATTCCCCAAAGTCTCCTTGCCTCTTAACCCGAATCAGTTGGAAACCTTTGGTTCTTAATTGCCGGAGCACCGGAGGCAGCCTGGCCAGCCGCGGAGCAGGCCCCTGGGGTGCAGGGGCACTTAATTAAACAAGGGAGTTACTGATTAAGCCAGTGTGGGCTCTGCCTAGGGCTTCGCATGCCCAAGTGGCTGGGCTGCCAAGAGTCCTAGATGGAGCAGGCCAGCAGTATAGAATAAATGTACTTCACGCATCATTAGGCTGGCGGGGAGGGGCAGGGGTTGACAGGTGGATGGATTCGTAAGATTTGAGGCAATAATCCAGGGCAGGCAATAAAATGTGGACGGGTTTTTTTACATTTGGAAAGGGGGTTTGCTATTGTGCTGGCCAGTATGTGTGTTGTGTGTATGTTCACATATATATTTTTAATAGTCTTTAAATGTATGTTGTGAAATGCAGCACACATATGGAAAGAGTATATAAAACTTATTTGTACAATTTAAAAAATCGTTAAAGTACCCATGTACCTGCACTCAAATTACTAGAATGTTATGTTAGAAGCCCCTTTGTGGCTCATATATGTTCGTAATCCCCTCCACCTCCCAGTCTGAATTTTGTATTTATCATTCCCTCTTCTTCTTCAATATAGTTTAATTTTGTCTATTTTAAAACTTTATATAGTGGAATAATAGTATATTCTTCTGTGACTTTCCTCTTTCATTGCACATTATATTTTTGAGATTCCCGCATGTTGAATATACAGCTGGAGCTGGTTGGCACCTCTGAGCAGAATATGATTAGATCACAACTGGCCCATGCTTCTGCTGTTGATTGACGGGGGCTGTTAGGAGTTGTGTGTTAGTGCAGGCAGTGCTGCTCGAACCATTCTTAAGCAAGTCTTTGTGTGCTCACATGCAGGAGTTTATCTAGGGCACGAGCCTTGTGGGGGAATGTGTGTGGCCATCTTTACTAGGCCATATGGGCAGTTTTCTAAAGATTTACATTCCCACCGGCTGTGGAAGCTGGTTCCTGTTGCTATGTCCTGGTTATATTGTTATCATTCAAACAACCACATTTTACAGATGGAGCTATGGAGACAAAAAGAAAAAAAGGTTGACTTGTCCAAGGTTCTTGGGTAGTTAATCAAAATTACAACTCCAGAGACGTGGCTCGTGAGTAATCGCTAGTTTCCTGCCTCAAATATAGACATAGGGAGGGAACCCTCCTTCCTATTTTGTCCTGGTGGGACCTGATGTGTAGGTGTTACTAATTACCAAGGTTCATGTTGTAAAAAACATTTTATTTAGTTTTTTTCTTTTATCTGTTGCCCATAGACATTCTTATAATGTCTCCATTATAGGGATTGGAAGGCAGACTAAGAAAAAGCAAAACCAGCACAAACAAACAAAAACTACAGTCCTGTATTAAATGGTCATATCTTGATTCCCTTCCAGGCCGCTTTCCATCCTGTACTTTCAGGGTTTTGCTACTTGTCCCACACTGATTCTGTCTCATCATTTTTCCAGTGAATTTTGTAGCAGAGCTGTGTGCCTGCATTTGCAGACACCGTGGCAGAGTTGTTTCTGCCGCCCTGTGCAGCTGACTGAGCCTTTCAAGATTTCGAACTCATGGTTGAGGGAACATGTCCTCTCTTTTCCCTTTTAGATGGTGCAGAATTTCCAAGATGAATCTTGTTTTGTCCTCAGCACATTAAAAGGTAAAGACCCTGCCTCTCTCTCCCCCCTACCCCATCCACTTTCCTGTTTAACTGAAGCATGTGGGTTAGGTGTGGTGGCTCATGCCTGTCATCCCAGCACTTTGGGAGGCCAAAGCAGGAGGATCGCTTGAGCCTAGGAGTTCAAGACCAGTCTGGGCAATGTAGCAAGACCCCATCTCTACAAAATGTTAAAAAAAATCAGCTGAGTGTGGTTTGTGCGCCTGTAGCCCCAGCTCCTCAGGAGGCTGAGGTGGGAGGATTGCTTGAGCCCAGGAGTTCGGGGTTACAGTGAGCTGTGATTGTGTGACTGCACTCCAGCCTGAGTGACAGAGTGAGACCCTGTCTCTTAAAAAAGAAAAAAATAATTAAAAGGAAAAAAAAGAAGCATGTGGGCCGGGTCCCTCGGGGTGCTGGGGGAGCCAGGTGGATGGGTGGGGCCTGCCTGCATGGTGGGCCCCTCCAGGGAATGCTTACCTGGGAAAAGCATTTGGAAAAAAGAAGACACAAACTTTCTGTGAAACCTAGCCCCAGAAATGCCAGAACTAGTGAGATTGGCCCCAAAGTCACTTCTGAAAGGGAAACCCTGGGCCAGGCAATTTCTTCTCCACGAACTGAGTGTCAAGTAGAAACAAGGTGTATCCACGTTTTCCTGGGGGTGTCCAGGAAGATCAAACCTGGATGCAGCCGAGCCTGCAGGCCAAGTGGGGAGGGGGGGGACACGGGCCTGTGCTAAGAGGGCGTCAGCCTGCCTGCACTGCCGAGAAAGAGCTCGTGGGCCAGGAATGTGAGTTTATTTACGAAAGGTAGAGAAAGACCTGCCGTGACCTTCCTGAGGGCTGGGAGGATGCATGTGGGGTGTGTCAGAACAAAAGTCTTCTGACTGGGTCATAGACCCTGAACCAGACGAGGCCATTTCCTCCCTGTTCTGTGGATCTAGCAACAGGTGCCTTTAAGGGCCCGGGGCCACAACACCCCCGAGGGCCACGGTTTGTCCACAGCCTCCTTGGGCGTAGGTCCTTTCTTTCGTCCTTGGGCCTCTGGCTGCGGTAGAAAGACCCATTGTGAAAAAGAAGCTAAGCAAGGCAGATGCCAAGGCATGTGTTGAAATCCCTGCTTCTGTCCCACACTTTGCTCTATGCAGCCTCATTTTTGCAATCTCTGCTGATGCCCTAATACCACGCCTTTCGGGACTCCCCGATACTGTGGCGCTGCGCCTTTCTTCCTGTGAAACGTGCCTGGTGTTTCTCTCTTGCAGCCGAGAGCAACGACGGCTACCACATCATCCTGAAATGTGGACTCTGAGCAGAAGTAGGACATGCACCTGCCTCCAACTCCCAGCCCCACGGACCCCCCTTGGATGTAGAAATTGCCCCACTGTCCGCTGCGGCCTCACCAGGCCAGCTGAGGCTAGGAGGGACCCTGCCCAGTCTGTGACGGCTACAGACCGTCAACCAGAAGAAGCCTGTGGACAGAGACAGGGGTGCAGGAAGCCAGTGGCTGTTCTCTCCTTCCCCTGGCCTTCAGCTTTGGAGACCTTCCTTGTTCTTTTTGTTGGTCCAACCCTGATATTCTAAAGAGGCAAACAGTGGGGGCATCTTCTCTGAAACCCCTTGCCCTTTGGTTGGAGGCTCATTGGGCATCTGGGTGCCCCCTGAATTGGTCCCTGCTGGCCTCCGTGCTGCCTCCAGAGAAAGCTCTGTCTCCCCCTGCACCTGCACCTGTGTCTCTGGCAGGTGGCTCCACGTTCTGTATTGCTGGCTCCACGGGAGCAGTTTGCCCTCATTCTCCTGCTTGCATGGTGCCTCCCTCCTCAGGGACCCTGGTGAGCATCCCTCCTTCCTGTTCTTGGATGATTTGATGGGAGTGGGGTTATTCTGTGCCTTATACCTCTTTCACCTTGACCTTGTTTCTGAGGATCTGCTGCAAAGCCCGAAGATGCACTCATATCTCTGCATTGCCATGGTGGACACCACAGCGGACGTGCTCAGCCTTTCTCACAGATGCTAATTCTGAGGCCCTTGAAGGGGGTCTAGGTGGGAATAGAAAAAGATGATTTTCAGGCACATTCTCATGAGTAGAAAAGGGATGAGAACAAAGTGATTCCTCTTGAGTGACCTCCCTGAGCAACCATGGGTGAGAAGGACTAGGAAATGAGCATGCCATTGCATCTTCAGATGACCTTGACTATTATAATACCAAGAGCAGACCTTGGTTAACCACTGCTGAATTTGCCAAGTTTCCTAGGGACGTTGTATTTTCTGTGGGAGCCCCTCATTTACATTTTTTATCTTTTTTCATTTGTAGGGGTTATCTTTAGGGTATTTTGCCTGTAATGAAATGGTTGGATCACCTTTCTTAATGGCCTATCTACGGGAAATTTAAGTATCAGTAACTGGCAGACTCAGAAATTAGTCTTTGTCGTGCTCTGGGACCCGGTGATCTCTACTGGCCTAGGGCTGTAGCTTTTTGTTAATTTGGGTTCATCTACCAAACCATGGTGAACCCTGTGACTACCTGAATGGATTTCACAGCTTCTCAGTGAAGCTTTCGGGGAATGTAGTGCTAGTCTCCAAGCTTGTTAGAATCGGGTAAACCTTACTTTGTAGATGGGCAAACTAAGGCCTAGAGGGGCACCTGCAGATACCATTATAGTGATAGAGTAATGATACAGACGTGTCATATAAACCAGGACACTTCTGAGAGTGGAAGGGGCTCTGTTACAGTTATGTTAGGATAAAAGCCATGGTGCTCCTGATTCATTTTCCCTTTACAGTGGGGTGGAGGGAGTGGGTTGACTAACAGCTTTGTTGAGATATACTTCACACAGCATACAATTTACTCAGTGTACAGTTCTATGGGTTTTAGAATTGATTGTGATCCACAGAATCACAATCAATTCACAGAACTGTCAATTTAGAACATTTTGATCACTCCCAGAAGAAACTCTGTGCCCTTTGGCTATCACTTCCCCCAACCCCACCAGTCCAAGGCAAGCAGGGGTCTACTTTCTGTGTAACATTGACCTATTCCGGGCATTTCATATGTATGAAATCATACGATACGGCCTTTTGTCACTGTCCTCTTTCACGTGGTGTGATGTTTCTAGGGCCATCCAAGTTGAGCGTGTGTCAGCACTTGTTCCCTCGTTGCTGAATAGTATCTCACCGTAGGGACGTGCCACGCTCATTTATCTGGTCATCAGTTGAAGAACATTTGGGTTATTTCTGCTTTTTGGCCATTATGAATAATGCTGCTATGAACATATTTGTACAAGTTTTTATATGGACATGTTTTAGTTTCTTTTGGGAATATACAGAGGAGTGGAGTTTCTAGGTCATGTAGTGACTATGTTTAACTTTTTGAGGAACTGCCCAACTGTTTTTCACTGCAGCTACACAATTTTATGTTCCCATTAGCAGTGTATGAGGGTTTCAATTTCTCTACATCCTCGCCAACACTTGCTGTTATCTGTCTTTTTGATCATAGCCTCCTAGTGGGTATGAAGTGGTATCTTGTTATGGTTTTAATTTGCATTTCCCTAATGGCTAGCGATGTTGAGCATCTTTTCATGTGCTTATTGGCCACTTGTATATCTTTGGAGAAATGTCTATTCAGATACTTTGCCCACTTTTAATTGGGTTGTCTTTATTATAGAGTTGTATGAGTTCTTTGTATAATATATTCTGGATGCAGGTCTTTTATCGGAGTTATGATTTGTAAAAATTTTATCTCATTCTGTGGGTTGCCTTTGCTTTCTTGGTGATGTCCTTTGCAGCACAAAAGTTAATTTTTTTTTTTGAGAACAGAGTCTTGCTCTGTTGCCCAGGCTAGAGTGCTGTGGCATCAGCCTAGCTCACAGCAACCTTAAACTCCTGTGCTCAAGTGGTCCTCCTGCCTCAGCCTCCTGAGTGACTGGGACTGCAGGTGTACACCACCATGCCTGTCTAATTTTTTTTTTCTATTTTTAGTTGCCCAGTGAATTTTTTTCTATTTTTAGTAGAGGTGGTGTCTCACTCTTGCTCAGGCTCAAACTCCTGACCTCAGGCAATCCTCCTGCCTGGGCCTCCCAAAGTGCTAGGATTACAGGCATGAGCCACTGTGCCTGGCCTTAATTTTGATGATGTCTAAGATACCTATTTTTTCTTTTGTCACTTGTGCTTTTGGTGCCATGTCTAAGAAACCATTGCCTTTTCCAAGGTCAAGAAGATTTATGCCTAAGTTTCTTTCTAAGAATTTTTAGAGTTCTCACAATGGTCTTTGGTCCATTTTGAGTTAATTTTAGTATATGGTGTGAGGTAGGGGTGCAGCTTCATCCTTTTCCATGTGGATGTTCACTTGTCCCAGCACTGATTGTTGAAAAGATTGTTCTTTCCCCATCCCTGTGGAGTTGTCTTAGCACCCTTGCTAAAGGTCACTGGTTCTTCCTGGATCTTTTTTCCTGGGACTTGGTGCTGTCATTCGGAAGCTTCCCTTTTTTCTTTTTTTAATTCAGTCCTTGTTTGGTCCCACCATTTTTACAGCTGCCTTTCTGTCCTATTCTTGCTGCCTCCCCCTTTACCTGTCTCAGCAGTACTGGGTCATGCGTCTCTGATGTTCCGCAGCCTTGCCTGGTGCGTGTTCCAGTTCCACACACTAGTCAAGACCAATTATTTCCCTTTTTGAGTCACGAGGAAACTGAGTCATATAGAAGTGGAATAATTTGCTCAAGGTCACACAGCCCAATTAGTGGAAGACGCAGGAATGGACGGTGGCCCTTCGGGGCGTCTGTAGTCACTGTACCTAAGTGATGCTACTACCCATGCCAAGTGGTGGCAGGCTGCATTTTCATTCTCAAAAGAAATGTGGTGGCTGATATTTTACTTAATTCCAAAAGAGGGTCTAATAAAGGTCAGTTACCTTAAGTTTGCTGTTAGTCGAGTATTGCATTTTCTGACACGCCTCCTGGCATCTGCTCTGCTCTAATGGTTATAGTTAAATCTCGTAGCTTACAAAGGAATGGAATATAATAGATACTAAAAAGGGGCATACATGGTAATTTGGCACCAAAATGTCTCAGCTGCCTAATTCAGCAGCTTGACCCTTCCAGAGGCATCGGAGCTGTAGGTTTTATTTTTCATTTGATTAAAGCACAGAAAAGCTGTAGACTTCCCACTCCTTTCCAGTCTTTCCTGTGAGCTCTGAGTCCAGAGGTCTGGACAGCTCCTCCCGGGGCCCTCCCCTCCCACCCCCAGCTGTGGCTTCTCCTTGGTAGCAGCAGCTTTTTAAAGTGATCCCTGGAGGGAAAGAAGACAGACGTGTGCTCAGGCCGCCATCTTGTACCAGAAGCCCAAAGCTGAGTTCTTCACCCTTTGTCTACCTGCTGGACAAGTGTCTGTTTGCAGGGCTGTGATAAACCTTTTCCTGTTTACCAGGTTGCAGCTTCACAATCAAGGGGCAGAGGCTGTTGAGTAGGGGGGACAATAGGATTTGTGTGCCTTTGGAAGGGGCAGGATGGGGTGGGGAGGTCAAAGCCTTGGCTTGGGGTCCGAAACAAAGGTCAGGCGTTGCCCTAGTGACCTCTGGCCCAGGCAGCGCCGGCCCCTTAGGCAGGGCAGTTAACCCAGAGAGGGTTTTTACCCGGAGCGCCCTGGAGCCGGCTGAGCAGCGGTCACAAATTTCCAATTTCCAAGTCCGGTCACAAATTTCCAAGTCCAGCGTTGCTTCAGGGGCTGGCCTGAGTAACTGAAGATCTGAAAATCATTAACGAGTTAATGAAATCAATGGAAAAGCGCCTTATGCTGTTGTCAGTGGGGCGGAGGGAGAAAGCCCCTAGGCCGTCAGAGATGGCGGGAAGCGGAGGAGGGCTAGGGGTGGGGGAGTAGATGTTGGCCCTGCCTGAGGTGCAGGAGGAGGGACCGGCAGGGGACTGAGAGTCGGGGTCCAAGGCTTCAGACCCCCATTCAGCATGAATCTCTTGGCCTCTCTGGGTCTGTTGCTCCCCTCCCCCAACCCCCTTAGAAATACAGGCTTGGAGACCTGCCATCTGTGCTGGCCAGTCATAGTGTGAATCCGCGGTCACCAGGGCTTTCCTGATTTCCATCGAAATCCTGCAGTGGGCAGGTGACCTTTGTGTGTGCCCGTCCTGGTTGTTCCCGGTGCCGCCAGTGCTCCTGCATTGCGAGGCTGTGCCCATCTTCACGGGAGTCAGAGCGTCTCTGTCGCGTGTGTTTAGGAATCAGCCCTAGCTGCTACCTGGGCTCACTGTTCCATCAGCACACTTACGGGCCCCCAGGTGTTCCCTGCCAGCCGGAGACCGCACACAGCGTGGCCCGGTCCGGAGCTACGTCATGGATGTGTGCGCGCACGCTGGTGTCTTTCCTCGCTTCTGTGTTTGCCGTGAGCACAGTCAGGGACGGCCTCAGCTTAGCAAGGTGTGGAGACCTTTGCATTTGGGGAA